ATGAATAGAAGTGATGAATTCAGTTCTATATTTTGTATGGCTCTTAAACGGTCATTATTTTCTACAGTGTCACTGATGTTTGCTGAACTGAACTGTTGTTACAGTAGCAGGCCGTTCGATTTATCTTGCACTACTTTGAGCAGTCAAAAAGTCGAATTGTCAACTTGGCATCTCACTTGAGCAGTTCATGAAACGAAAATAAATAATGTTTTTGTGTGAAATTTCAGCTGATGTGAGCGAAAAAGAAAATAATAATAGCAGTAACAGCGGCACTAACAACAACAGCACCACCAAAAACAACGGCGGTGATCAAAGTGAAGCCACAAATAAGAAAGCGGCGAATATTATCAAAACGGAGAGAACAGAAGAAAACGATACGAAAGAAACGAATTTGTGTGCTAGAGAGGAATCGTCGACGCCACCCATCAAAAAAGCAAAAATCGAGAATGGTACCATAAATCATATTCGAAACAATACGGCAACCAAGAATTGCCTGGCTGCTGGAGGTATTGTTGATTCGAATACGAACTGCAGCAGCANGCAGCAGCACTGTCAGGGGAGGGGGAGCGTTGGTGAACGGTGATATTGCTTCGAAAGCAGCCACCACATTGCAGTCATCTGCTAGTGCTGCCACCAGCGCCACAGCATCAAGCTCCTCTTCTCCTCAACATCTGCTATCGTCTGTGGCTGTCACACAACCGCCAGAGTCCTCATCGCCAATACCTACAACTATGATGACGACGGTAACATCAGCCAAATTGAACGCCGCCACTCAACAGCATCAATCAAACAACAGCACATCGAATACAACCACTCCGTCGAATCTAACCGATGACACGGATGTCTCCTCTCCACCACTAGAAAATGGCACGTCTGCTCCAACATCTACTCATGACACAACAACAACGTCCACAGCACCCGGTGGTGCAGCAGCACCACCTTCTGTAGCGGCCGGTTCTGTGCAAGCAGTCGCTTAAACAAGATAACCATTCAGATGGAACAACAAGTGAATATGTTAATGAAACGGAACAACCGAGTCCTTCTATTGGTCCTTCATTTCAGTCAGCTTCACCGATCGATCAAATTCGCTATTGTTTGCGAGATCGGTTCAGTACTTTTTCTGAGGGATCCTTACTTAAGTATAAAGTGCGAATGTTAGATATATACTCTCGTATTCGTCCATCAGGATAATATTTATACAATTGATTGGTTAGTGGTTATAAACGGTTCGTGAATGTTTTAT